GTACGGGAGGCAAGCCCAACTCTTATGCTCATCATGCGTCTCTGTTGTCTCCGAGCGATCTTCACTGTTTTTTGGTCGAATTGCTCTATTGAAATTTTTTTTACTGTATCCATTCCAACCAAAGGCCCTTTCCAGGTGTTTTAATTCTCCCTCTAACTCGGCTGGTTCGCAGATTTTTCTGGCTCTTTCGGTGAGAGTTTTGATGATGCCTCTCTTCTGACTGGGGTGATGGTTTGAACCACTGTGCAGGTACCGGTCCGTCGTAAAAACCGGTAAGTTTAATAAACTTACGGTTTTTACAAGTGAACCTAAATCATTGTTACGGTCTGAAAATTCGTACATTTGAAAAAAATACTTGTGAGTTTCAAAGAAAAGCTGTCTTAATGACATTTCGCCACAAGTTTAGTGGTCAAATGTACCTTATTTCCTAAAAAGATGAGCTAATTTGGTTCGTTAGTTTTTGAGTTAAGGCGAAAGAAGTTCAAGAAAAATAAATTGCTAACTTGTTTTCATGGATTTTTTTAGATTTCCGGATAAACCGAGCCCTGACAAATGTTTAGTGTTTGAAGATGCCCCAAATGGGGTGCAGGCCGCCGTCAGCGCTGGCATGCAAGTCGTAATGGTGCCCGACGAAAACGTTCCAGTAGAGGCAAGGAAAAATGCCACCTTAGTAGTGAACTCACTAGATAAAACTCCCTTGGAGCAATTCGGACTTCCTCCAATAAAATAAATGACCTGAATGCATCCAAATTGTTTCTCTTGGAAATAAATAGTTGTTGTTCTACTGGAGCTTTAACCGATGACCTTTGCGTATATCGAAATAGTAGTTTTCGATACAAGGACAAAAAGTGTCGTTTTTCGAACGACGACGCCCTTGACTTCGTCTCGGATGTCAATCCGTCAGGAGTTTTTCAAAAGCGTACTTTTGTAAGCATATGCTAGTGAAACAATGAATGTTGAAAATTCACGAGCTGCTTTCACGGTATGGTGTTTGTATAAGATGCATATTTTGCATAAAATTTGCGATTAGCCAAAAATAAAGCTGTCAACGGAATATTTAAAATTTGAGGTCAATGCCATTTTTGAAATAGTCACGTTTTGACCTTTGTAATTTTACAAAAGCGTACTTTTGTAAGAATATACAAGTGAAACAATGTTGAAAATTCAAGTGCTGCTTTCAAGGTTCAAGTTTATGTATTTATAAGGTGCATATTTTGCACCAAATTTGCGATTTTTTAAAAAATCGTGTTTTGCTTGTTGCAACATCGGCGAGCGCAAAAAAATAGACCATTTGAACGACTTTGAGACTGAACTGGTAATAAATTTATAATTTCCAAATTGTAAGTAAACTTTAAATTATTATCAATAGTTGTCTATACACCTACGTAATTTATTAAAAAAGCCTGTCGGTTACTTTTTAATGAAAATACTTCAAAATATTTTATGACAGTGGCACTTGTCACACACAGTTTGTCAGATTTACTTTTGCTCCCATATGCGTAAAAGTAAAACAAATGAACAGTAAAGAAAAGTGCTTCTTTTGATCATCGCTTTTGATCAAAAAATGGCACACGTTTTGGCGGCATTATTAATGGAAATGAGTACTATTTTATGCGGAAAACAGCTATGGGACAAAAAATCCCACAATTCTTGTCGACCATTTGGCTTCGTGTGTCGTCACAGCAATTATTGGATAACCTGGCGATAAGTTGACATTACGCATTTCTAGGTTAACAGTGGCAATTATAAACATTAAAGAACTTTTCTGGAAAACACTTACAATGTCTGGTGCAGTTAAACTTTCCGGCGCCCTCAAAGAGTTGAGAGTGCATTTGTGTCAAACCAGCCCTTCAAGCAAGGGAGTGAGGTAAGACTCCAACAGCTCAGACCTGCAGGTTATGTAATGGGGGCTTTTCAAGGGAATTCATTGAAAAATACTATGTGGAGCTAAAAACTGCCAACCCCAAGTTCCCCATTTTGATCAGAGAGTGTTCGGGAGTTGAACCGAAGCTTTGGGCACGATTTGGTAAGTACAACAATTTGCCCCTTTGCTCTAGATTGGGTAAATTGTGTCTTTTCCAGAGCAAGGAAAGGAAAAGGCCATAGCACTGAAGGACCTAACTGCCTCAGACGTTTTGACACAATTAAAATCAGTGTCAAAGTGAAATAGTGTCGTTTTTTAGTTAGTAGAACGTTTGTTTCAATAAAACCGTTTAATTCTGATCGTTGCTTATCAAAGACGACTCATCCAATACCACACGTTTGCCACTCTCCTTTTTCTCCTCTGGATCAAGCAAAACTTGAATAGGTTCCGTTAGAGTAACTTTAGCATCTGCAAATACCAAAGCTGTGTCCTCTTGAGAGAAAGGGGGCAGCCCAAATATCTCAGGGAGCATGTAATTGAAGGAATCCAGCCGCAAAGTGGCCAACTTCCAAATGTCGTAAGAAACCTGCGGTTCTGGCAGCATAACCACCTGCATTCCTGCAGCCACTGCGGCCAGCATTCCATTCTTTGAATCTTCGAAAACCAAACATTTGGCCGGCTCTGGAGGATTATCGAACCTTGATGCCGCTATTAGAAAGATATCAGGCGCCGGTTTTCCATTTTTTACTTCTGGATCGGTTCCACCGCAGACAATGTGGTGAAAACAAGCGAATAGTTGCTGGTATTTATTCGTTTTTAGCTCGAAAGCTTCCCGGTTTGTAGAAGATGCCACTGCTATCGGGACGTTGTGGTTGTGCAGATGGGTTATCATTCTTTCCGCTCCTGAAACCCCGCTATAGCTCTTTGAACCTCGAATTTGAGCCTCCTATGCTAGGCATACCTGGCATTAGCTCCAAGTCGCCCAGATATTTATTCGAATGAAAATTGTATAGTTTAATAAATTCCTCGAGCGTCGTATCCAGATTGAACGTCTCAATTGCGATCCGGCCAACTTGCTTTTCTACAGAACCCTGCACTTTGGTGATAAAATCTGGATAGAATTCGCATCCATAATCTTCAATAGTTTGTTGCAAAGCTTTAGCGTAAACACTTTCGGAATCTGCAATTATTATAAAACCCGTGCCCATATTGTAAGGAAAACTCTGGATTATGATCTTGCCTATGATGGTTCCATCCAGATCGAATATAACGTGAGTAACTGGTTTGTACTTGCCGGAACCATTGCAACAGTGTGGATGCATTAAAAGCTACTGACGATTTGAAATGGTTGATGGAATGACATGAAAGTCGATTCTTGATTAATTAATAATTGAGTTTGATTGAGCTGGTGTGATTGTTGGAGATTTGGTAGAAGTGTCCCAAATACATTACAACCATGACGTCCAAGTTTTGGGCGCTACAAAGACCTCGCAAGCGAATGCAAAAGTGAACGACGGGATAACATGAAATAATTATTGATAACAGTCTGAAGGCTGATGTAATTGTTGCTAACTAAGGCGGAGCCTGTCGAGGAGAAATCGAACAGAGAGCGCAGAATGTGGCCGAACTACAAGAACGGTTTGATGCGCGCAAAAGGGGCCACGCATGCGTTCGGCCAGCGACTGCACATTTTTTTGACTCGATTTCATGAGTGCCGGTCTGCTCGTCCTTTGAGTTATCAGAGTTACGGAAATGCGACGAGACCGTCGAGGGTAGTTGACTGTGCCTTAGCAACCGAGTGAAAATCGCGATGGTTCTCACTTAAGCTGGAGAAACGGTGACTGAATTTTCGCTTAGCTCTCAACCAAATGGCTGTGATCCGTATTGATAGTGTGCGAGGAAACATGTGCCGGCTACAGGGTGTTCTTCTGTTTTGCGCCCTTTATCTGACTGCAGTCGTTCTTGCCAACCCCCGGAGTTGCGATTCAGTTAAAAGTGTACTCGAATCGAAAGGGTTCGCCAGCCAGGGAATACTCGATAAGCCGCAAAATGGTGAGTTTCTCTTATCAATTGTTTGGTGAGCGCCTTCCGCACGCACTGTTAATGCCTATTTACCTTTACAGGGGAAATTGTACTCAGTTGCAAATTGTTGCTGTTTTTGCCCATTATTTTATAGAACTTTCCTAACACATTAAAGGTCTAAGCTCTATTGTGTTGGCTTTCTATTTAAATTTTGTGAAAAAAGTTCTGGTATCTCTCTAAATCTGCTTAGTCTTTGTTGACCAAGTTTTCCTTTTTGCTGCTGCCTTTAAAATTAACAATATTTTTCAATTTGTTTCATTAAGTATTTTCGTTGCTACAGAAAAAAATTGAAACAAAAAACAAACGCACAGAGACTGATTTGTTGAGTACCACACAAAAATCTTCTCGTAAAAATGTATTGGTTCTGTTTGTTCTCCTCTGTCGGTTGTTTCATTTAAAATTAAGTATTAACCGACTCGTCTATTGTTTGCTACTGTAAATCATACTTGGATTTTGTACCTCAGCTTATCTTGCGTTCATCAAAACTGCATTAACTTACATTATTTAGTTAATAAATCAATAATTAATTACATCTTAATCGTTCAAATTAACTGTTTGTTCTCATTTTTAGTACTTTGCGTTTGTCCATCAGTCAATGTTCTTTAACAGCCGTTTAGACAACATTAATTCGTTTTGTGTAACACACACGGCTGCACACAAAGAAATTTACTTTAGCCTGCTTCTAAAGTTTCATTGAAATTCGTTGCATTTTTTGTATTTCCATTAACAGTAGTTTTACCTAATAATTAACGCTTTTTGTTTATGCTCCGGCCGATTCCAGATGTTGTCTTATTATTTTTTTCTATGAAACCAACAATAAATCTTTTAATGGTTAATGTCTGTTTATATCTGTATAGGGTAAATTGTACTTAGTTGCGAATGGTTGCAGTTTTTTCAAAAGCCGAAATCTATTTTACGAAACACAGCGTATTTTTTCAGGAAGAGCAACAAATGTGAAGTTGGCTACTTATTTAATCTTTGTAAAGAAAAGTGGCTTTCTTTTTGATCATTTTTGCTATTAATCCGTTCAATCTGTTTAGTATGTGTTAACTGTTTGCCTGTTCGTTGCGTCCTTTAAAATTAAGTATTTTTTGCATAATTTTATTTCAGAAAAAACCACATAGACTGATTTGTTGCGTCCCACAAAAAATGTATTCTCGTATTAATTTATCGGTTCTGTTAGTGAGTATTGTTTTCCTGTCTGTTGTTTCATTTAAAACTAGCTGCGTCTTCTGTACTGTAAATCGTACTTGCTTGGATTTTGTATCTAAGCTTATCTTGCGTTCATCAAAATTACAAGAATTTTCATTATTTAGTTAATAGATCAGTAATTAATTACAAGTTAATCGTTCAAATGAACTGTTTGTCTTCGTTTCAGTAATTTCTGTTTGTCCATCAGTCAATTTTCTTTATCTGCCATCGAGACAAATTTAATTCGGTTTGTCTCAACAAACGCGGCTGTAAACAAAATAATTTACATTATTCTGCTTCAAATGTTTGCTACAGTTTTTTTCTATTCGGACGGTCTTGTCGTTTGTTTTCATTGAAATTCGTTGTATTTTTACTATTTTTTCCATTGCCAGTGGTTCTCGCGTATAATCTCGCTCTTTGTTTATGCAATGTTAATCCTTTTTTCTAAGAAACAATAAAACAATAAGACAATAAAACCCACATTTCAGACAAATAAACATAAATTAACGCATTTAGTTTGTGCATCATCTGAGAGTGCTTGCATAAAGTAGAACGAAATTTACAATCAAATCCAGCAAACTTCGATTGTTCTTAAGCAAACTAGCGTAAAACAGCAACTTCTTTACTAATTGTTTCTTACAGTTCTTAGCTTTTTTTCGATTTTCCAGTACTGGTAAACAACTCACCAACCAGGTGGCTCAGTTATCAAAACAACTCAATTTCAGCTAATCTTTTGGGTAATTTAATAGGGGCGCTTATGAATAGCACAGGGCATAAAACGAGCCATAAAAACGTCTAGGTGGTCTCGGTTTTCGATATTTTTTGGTTCACCGGACAAGCCCATTTGTGCTTCCTGAAGAAAAGAGAAATTTTAGTGGAAGAGTCCCAAGTAACTGTGTCTAAATATTTTAAATTGTTTCCACCATGAGGTCCTGTTCTTTCTTTTATCTGCCGGTGGACAATGAACCCTCTGGGTGCCAGTAAATAATCCAAGTGGACAGATCTGACTGCCACTATAGTCATTTATTATATGTTTTCTTCAGAATTGATTTCTCTGGTGTGTTTCAAGTCCACCGAAAATCGAATTGAAGCATCCGCGCCCAATGATCCATTTTGCGGTACCATCGCAAGCGACTGGAACCGGCCGAAAAGCCGAAGAACCACCAGCGCAGGCATGACAGGGCCGGTACCAACTAATTAGGTAGCGCTAAAACATTGGCATTCTTCGGATGCCTTCGCGATGCATTTTCTCCCACGATACCCGGTCAACCACTCCAGACAACTTGTACCTGAATGGCGCTATAAACCGAAGAACCGCGAACCCGCAAAAGGAGAAGCTGCGACCGATGTTGCTCTTATCGCTCGATATGCTACCAAAACCTCAAGAATTCGGTTGTTTTTTCACAGACATTAAGATACCAGTCAATCGACATTCAGGCGGTTTTAAAAAATGTTGGAGAATTCAGATGAGCCAACTGGAGAAGGTTGAAAGAATTCAATTTGCAAAAAATCTCAGCTCCAAAAGAGGCGTTCTGGCTGTTTTCATCGCCTGGATTGTTTGCAAGACGGAAACGCTTAAAGAATAAACTGGCTTTCGGTCCATTTTTCACGGTGCGTGCAGAAAAACAGTCAATAACACGTTTCCCCCTTTTCCAACTTCCATAAATTATTCTCAACACGCGTTTCGTTTTGATTCAAGTGGATCGTTTACTTGGTGCCAGAGAAATCCAACCGTAATTAGAAGATTCTTGGCCTTACAGTCACATGTAATAACCGTCCTGGCTATTTTTTAATACTGGGTGATCATACTTTGCGCAATTTAATTCTGTGAATTTTCTATTCAAAATCAAAGCGGCAACGGTGCATCCAGGCAGATATTTGTGGTTAGTTTTTCTATTATGCTCTTCACAACTTATAACAATGTCGCATTTGCGTTAAGTTTACTTTTCTTGGTAAGACTAAAGCCTGTGTCCCATGCATCTGTTTATACGATGATACGAAAGTGTTTCTATTGGTTGGTTATCTGTCAATTCGTACGACGGAGTACGAATTGACAGATCTCCAACCAATAGAATCACTTTCGTACCATCGTATAAACAGATGCATGGGACACGGGCTTTAGTTAAAGTCGGTCAAATATTCTACATGAGAATCTTGCATCTTATGTGAAAGTGAAAGATACCCTTAGACTGTTCCAGGTTCAATTGAATCACCCTGTATAAAAATCTACTGAACTAAATAAGTGTTGAGCCTGGTAGGCGGTCTCTTTTATTTTTAATGAAGATGTTTCGTGGCAGCACGAAGTACCGTAAACTCAAACATGCTTTATCTGGTTTCGGTTTTCCTTTTTGAATTTTTAATCCCCTTTACATGAGAGGAATGTGTCGCTTCAGCGCCCGGCTCCACAAAGAGATACGTTTATCGTTTGGCAAATATTTAAGTGGTATATTTAGGTATAATATACACAAATATTTGGGATGCCCTCTTTTTCTCGTTTGTTCGTCGGAACAGAGATTCGGTCGCTGAGTCATAAACAGGCGCATAATTAACTGCAACGCGCAATTTTTACGTTTTATTGTCGAATCATCAGGAATAAACGTCACCTAAGTAAATCTGTAATGATTTGTTTGGATACACAACTACTGAATGTGTGGGGTGTATTAACTGTTAATATATCTTTATTTGTGCACAGACGCGGATAATTATTTTCACTTTGTACGCGTTTATGGCTTTTACCCAGCGCAAACAATCTCGGCTCACTATTTGCGTGAAAAAAACAAACAGATTTTGAAACACGTATTGAAACCGTCTGCCGCAACTGCAACTACACCTAGACCCTTGTTTACTTCAAACGTTCAGAGTATGCACCCTAAAAGTATCCCCAAAACAAAATCAATACAATCACTGTTGTGTCTGAAAGCATTCGGCTGCATCGACGGGCCAAAATCTGGCAAAACCGATTTCATCAGAACACTCTAATCGCTTATGAGCGGTGAAAAAATTAAGAGGCGTTTTATGTTTGTCGAGCCATCAAAGGGCTGTTTTCGGGTCCCTTCTGGCCCTTCTAAGCCCTTTGCCCACGCCGGCACCTCGAACACTCTCTAATCAATTACAAAGTGCGACAAATGCGGACCGGGCTCTAGCCAGGGACGAATTTAGGAGGCAGAAAAAGACTGGGAAACCGTTCGTTACCAGCAAAACTTGATTTTTCGTAATAAATTCTATAAAATGTTTGTAACAGAATACGTAGAAAATTAAGTGCACGTGACGATTTTTAGTAGAGCATAATCGCTTAAAAAAATTGCCTGAAGATGACTCAAAATCGAAACTGCATAAACAAGTGCAGAATACAAGCGAATTTTGTGTAAATTCTTTAAGAATGACTCGAAAACGAAACTTTCCACATATAGAACGCAGTTGTCTTACTAAAAGCACCCGAAAGTGAATCTTCAACTTTACTGGTTTCTGGGAAAATAAATGTCAAACTTAGGGATGCAGAAACACCCTCAAAATCAAAACGCGCATTTCAAAAATTGTCAAAAATCGTTTGATGATAACTTATATTTGAAGCTTTGCCCATTTGTAGAAGAGACTTTACCCTAAAAAACGAATCTAAAATTGAATTTCTGACTTGGCAAGTTACAGAGAAAACAAATGTTAAACTGCAAATTGCAAAACCGCCACGAAAACCAGATGCGCTTTAGAAAAATTCTAGAAGAAAGAAAATCGAAACTTTTAACTTTGCGTTGTCCTACAAAATGCATCCAAAATTGACTTTC